TCGCAAATAGAAGTGTACGAGGATGGAAAAGTGAAGTATCTTGAACTTAAAGATGAACTCCAAGGAAAAATCATCTCACTTGAAAGTAGGGTCTCTCCTGCAACCACCCCACCTGTGGAAGCGAGAAGCGACGACAGGGCTCTTGAAACAGAGTTGAGGAGTTTAAGGAGCGAGTATGACATGTCGAAGAAGTTGCTCGCATCGTTGGAGTACACAGTTGAACTCCAAAAATGCGTAATCTCAACCTTTGAAAGAATAAGTGAGGAAAACATAAATATTGCTTCCATGACCTCTCAAAACAAAGATGACGTCATTGGGGATGCTCGACAAGGGCCAGCAATATTTAGCAACACCGCTAAACCTCCAAAGCAATGGCTAACGCAAATAAGAAATAAACCAAATGTGCCAACCAGGGATGGTAATTCGACCACACAACAACAGGCAATACTGCCAAGTTGGACAGCTCAATCAGTTGAGGCGGCTGTCAATACCATAGAGGTCAATACCAATGATATCAATAAAAACAAACAAAGAATCGAAATTATCAACTCGAAAACCCTAAACACGGCATTGATGGAAGTTGAAACTCGCAATACAATGCAAAATATTCAAAAATTATACACGAAAAATGAGGACGATGGCCAGTGGCAGGTGCAAAGACGAAAGCGCCGACGATGTGTGGTGGGTGATAATGAGACAGAAATACAAGGGGTCCCAAAATCTGTCTCACTACACGTAACTAGGCTTGACCCAAGCACAAAGCCTGAAGACCTGAGAAATATGTTAGCTAAGCACTTTCCCGAGGTAATTTGTGAGCAACATCCATCCAAACATCCCACTCTATATTCCTCAATGAAAGTTACTCTCAGGCAAAATAACTTCCGCAACGCGTGGAGAAGAGAGATATGGCCAAATGGTGCCCTCGTATCTCGTTTTTTTGCCAAGAGGAGTAACCTGTCACAAACGGAGGAGACAGTTCCTCAGAGAAAATGAAAACTAAATCAAATATAAGTATAAATAAAACTGTTTCGCAATCAAAAAATCCCACTTCCAACTATGTTTCAAGTAACCATTGTCAGGTCTACTACCAAAATGTGCGTGGTCTAAGGACTAAGACTAAAGCTTTTTATACCAACTTGTTGACAATGGATCCCGATATAGTGACGCTGACTGAGACTTAGCTATGTGATGGAATTTTCACTCAAGAGTTCATCGATGAGAGGTACACGGTGCTAAAAAGAGATAGAAGTACTGCTGCTAGAGGTGGAGGCATTTTGATCGCTTTCGACAGAAGATTCTCTTATGAAATTATTGATAGTAATGTTGAATGTATTCTTGTAAGGTTGAAGTTGAAAAAGTTTAATGTTATTGTCTCTGTTGTATATTTCCAACCAAACTCTAGTTTGGAAGTCTATAATAGTTTTTTTAATCAATTTGAATGTCTTTTAGATGGCGAGCGGACAGGAGTATTGATATTGGGTGATTTTAACCTCCCTTTTTTTGAAATATGTGATAATGATAAAAACACCTTGCTTACTGAGTTCCTTAATCTCAATAATTTGAGACAGTTGAATAACATTAAAAATTTTAGGGACAGGTGCCTGGACCTGCTTTTGACGAACATGGAGATACCGCAAATCACTAGGTCTGTGCAGCCACTAGTTGCAGAAGACCCCTATCATCCTGCACTTGAATTTGGAGTTCCAACAAAGGATAAGTTAGTTAATTGTATATCCAAACAGTATGTATATGATTTCCCAAAAGGGGATTTTCTACTTCTATACAATCTTATGAAAACCTGTGATTGGACTGAAGTACTTTCAATTACAGATGTAAATACGAGTCTCAATTTATTTTATAAAAAGGTGGATGGTCTTTTAGATAGAGCTATTCCAAAGAGACAAATCAAACATTCTTCCAGTAAAACCCGTTATCCAAGGTGTTATTCCATATATCTGATTCACAAAGTCAAGGAAAAGAATAAGCTTCATAAGCGTATATTGAGTAAGTGTGCTGATCCATCAGTGCAATTGCACTTTAATGAATTAAGACAATGCATCAAGCTGCAGACCCAAGCAGAATACAACTTGTATAAGAATAATGTGGAACTTAACCTAAATTCAGATCCCAGTTCATTTTGGCAGTTTTTGCATGAGAAGTGCGAGAATCGAGGGATACCGGGGGAAATGAAATTTAATGAGAAATTGTACTCGGGTTCTGAGGATATAGCGATGGCTTTTGCTCAGCATTTTGAGTCAGTATATGAAAGACCCAATGATGTAAGTAAATACATGGGGAATGTTAACGGATGTGATTTTAAATTTTCAAATGTGTCAGAGTTGAAAGTTGTAAATAGTATTAAAAGGTTGAAGCCTAAAAAATCGACAGGGCCTGATCAGATCCCTGCCTATATTTATAAAGGATTGGCTGAGTTCATAGCTCTACCGCTCAAACATATTTTCAATCTTTCTATTGGAAGTGGACAATTTCCTGATGCCTTGAAGAATGCTCAGATTACGCCTATTTTCAAGAAAGGACGAAAGGACGAAATTAGGAACTATAGACCGATTTGCCTCATTAATATTTAGGCAAAAATTTTTGAAACAATACTTTATGATGATCTTTCAGACTTTCTAAAACCTAAAATTTCTAAATACCAGCATGGATTCTTAAATGATAAGTCAACAATAACAAACCTCTCTATATTCTCGGAAATGGCGGCTGAGGCGATCGCGAATAAGAGCCAGTTGGATGTCATTTACACAGATTGTGAGAAGGCTTTTGACAGAGTGGATCATGAGTTGCTGCTTTGCAAGCTTGCTGAGTTTGGGGTGTCAGAGGATGCTTACCATCTTGTGAGGTCACACCTCATAGGCAGGGTCCAGACAGTAAGGGTCGGCGCTTGCAACTCTGAGGCGTTTGTTGCAACCTCAGGTGTCCCGCAGAGTAGTAAACTGGGACCTCTTTTCTTTTTGTGTTTCATCAATTCATTGCCCGACTGCCTGAGGAACTCTATGGGACTTCTTTTTGCTGATGACTTCAAGCTCAGTAGGATTATTGAGCGGCGAGAAGACTGCAGAAGGCTTCAGGGTGACATGGATAAGGTGATAGACTGGTTTAACAACAACAGAATGTCCCTAAATGTTAATAAGTGTTCTGTTGTCAGCTTTACGAGACGAACAAACCCAATAGAAGAAACATACAAGATTGGTGATACTGAGCTTGATCGTCAAACAGAGGTGAAGGATTTGGGTGTCTTTTTCCAGGCCAACATGAAGTTCAATAAGCATTTTCATCATGTTGTCAATAAAGCAGTAAAAGCACTTGGCTTTGTAATCAGGAATAGTAAGAACTTTAAAATAAGTACAATTATTAACTTGTATAATGCTCTGGTGTGACCGCACCTTGAATATGCATCACAAATTTGGATGCCATTGGAAGCCACGCATATTGATGAAATTGAAAAAGTGCAGAAGAAATTTTTGCGGTATCTCTATGTGGTTAAAAATAATATTTACCCATATATGGTTCCTTACAGGGATATGCTTGTTAGTTTTAAGATAAAGTCATTAGTGGAAGAAGGAATAATCAGGCTGTGATATTTTTGTTTTATATTCTAAACAACCTAAAGTATAAGGATTGTAATTTAATTAACTATGTCTCCTTAATTGTACCAAAGATTAACTTAAGAATTATGAAAAACAAGAAATACTTGGTACTAATCCTAGTGATAATATGTCACCATTTAATCGCATGATGACAGTTGCGAACCAAGCACTTAGTGCGCGTTCACATTGACACTGCTCGAGCGGTGAGCGTTGGGCGATGCCGCTGTAGCGATGCCTAAGAATAATTTTAACATTATATTTCAAATGAACATGTTAACACCGCGCGACACGCTACCTCAGTGTGAACTTGTTCATTTGAAAAATAATGTTAAAATTATTTTTGGGCATCACTACAGTGGCATCGCGCAACGCTCACCGCTCGAGCGGTGTCAATGTGAACGCGCACTTAATGAGGTCCAGGTAGATCTTTTTAATGTAACTTTAAATCAATTGAAGGCCCTTTTAAATTAGTCATATATGTTTATATTGTGTACGCTGTCTTTATTTTTGTGTTTTACACTTCGCTGTTTTAACTTTACATGTACTCACTATTTTTGGTGTTTGTAAAGTAATGAAATAAATAAATAAAAATATTAAATGCAAATGTTAACATACCTATAGATACCTTGTAGCTTTTGTCTTTCATACTAGCAAATACTGCAAATCAGAGTCAAATTCCATTTTCTTCACATGGCTGGATTCCAAGGCATTTCCACCCCTTTTTATAATTTTGTTATCATCTATAAAAGCATTGATGCTTGAGAGTTTCAGAACGTGTTTAACCCTAGAATACTAATACGTTTTTTTATACGTTAGTTCTAATATGTCGTAAATTTTACGACTTTTCAACTGAAAAAATCAAGTAAAAGTCAAATTTTTGTTGAACAAAAAAGTAACTTTATTGGAGCATAAAAACTACGTTTTTAATAAATGTACAAAAACTGTTGATTCTAAGAGCACTCGTTGCACCACTTTCCCCGGTGTTCGCCACATATTGGGTGTTTACATTGGGGGCAGTACGTGGTCGTCATGCGCCTTAATCGACAAGGGCAATAGAAGCATGTTGCACGCCTGCCTTCAGCTTGAGGGACATCATCTGGTTGGTCATCTATTTTCAGGATTTCTTTGATAGTTTGGCGCAGATTTCGTCGTAAATTTTTGATCTTCAGCCTGTGCTCCATCCATAGCCTGGCAAGTTCGTGACTCAACTCGATCATGAACTCATAACGTCGCACAGTGGGTCCACATGCGAAAAAGTGCCGCATCGGGTTTTAAAAGCTAGATTCTTCTTGTAAGGAAGTATTACTGAGTATGACTGTATTTGATTTAAACGTAAGAATGTAAGGAATAAGAAAACGTCCATAAATTAAATTTTGGAGATAATTTTATTATTTATAAAAGAATATCTTCAAACTCATTTTCTGAATCATTTACATCATCCGCAATGCTATCGATTTCTTCCGATTCCTCATCCGAACTGGAGTCATATGCCTGTGTCATTATGTCATTATCGATACAGGCCTCAATATTTAGTAAGTCAATGTGCAAATGTTCTTTTTCTGTTTTCTTCGAAAGCTTTGATTTTTGAAATGTTTGATAAATGTAAAAAAATAGAGGATCTGAAGTCAACATTAATCTATTAAAAACATCTTGCAAATTAGCCTTACGAGATATTTTCCGTGAAAAATCTGTCCTAAATTTCTTGAAGTCCTTATTTCGGGCTTCCTGAGGCTCTTCACTAAGGGCACCTACAAAATTGAAATTTTGAGCGTATTTTTAAATTCTTCCTAAAAATTTAACCGAAAATATAAAGAAAATTACCTAATGGAATGGAAGGAAACTTTTCCAGGTATTTGTGTCCATGGTACAGAATTTTATGTACTGTTGGGGAAAACTTAAATTGTGGATATATGTTGAGGAAAAGCTCCGCAGTTTCGAAGGCATATTTTTTGTAGGCTTCTGGTGAAATTGTCCTATTGCATGAAATAGCAGCGAGAATATTTGCAAATCTTTTTACGATAGATAATTCAATATCTATAATTTCAGATGTCAATTCCGAATTTTGAAAAAATCTTCGCGCTGTGTTTCCATCATGCGAAATGCCAAATCCAGGTTTTGGTTTGCCAATAATTAAACCAGTTTTTTCTTTGAAACTTTTTTGAACTTCTTTCTTTCTTATTTCCTGCTCATTTTTTGTTTCAGGCAGCCTAAATATGAAATTTATAATATGTTACAATAATTACTCTCAAATAAAGCAATAGGTACTTACTTATAACTACATCTTAGTAAAAACTCCATACAGTTAATTTTGGCATGAAGTGGAGATATCCCAAATTTGAATACATCCTTAGCAGTATTCTCCTTTGGTATCTCGTTTAAAGTTTTTGGACCAGCAAGACAAACAGGACATCTCTAAAAGTAAAAGAGCATAAAACCTAAAAGAGAGATGAAGGCCTCAAATCCTTACCGAAGTCGCCTTATTTTCGCTTATTGCATTTATTATTTTTCCATCCACCATAGTAAAAAGGAATTCGTGTTGTACAGTAACTTCAACAGAATTGTTTAGTCTAATTGTAGTGTTTGCTAATTCATCAATTTCTTTCATTACTCTTGAATACTCTTTTTGAGTGGAAGCAGTGTCTTCCTTGCAAAAAGCTATTCTAATTGGCCTGCACAAACTGTAAATAAAATATGTTTAAATTATTGAAAACCTTTAATTGTATTTTCTGGTAAATGGAAATAAGATATCATAAAAAAAAGCAAATTAATTTACCTGGAAGAACTTGGACTTTCATTTTTCCAGATAACTGAGTCTCCAGTTTTCAGTAAAAGGGGTACCAAATTCGTGCAAAATACAGTTGAATCTGTACTATTTGAATCAATAAATCTTTGTTTAAACTCTGGATGACCACTGCTACCATCCATACCCCATTTGTATATTGAAACGATATCACATGGGTGGTTTAAATCAGAGATATGTACCAAAATTTGTTCGACAGTTATGTCTACGAGATTTTGGAGTGATACCTTCGCTTCAATTTCTGTAAAATTGTCTATATTTTCAATGGGATAGCTCATTTTTTTGTATTTCATTATCTCATGATATGAAGGGTAGATGTTGGTGTCTAAAATTAAAACGCACATCAATTTGTTGTTTAGTTTATTTATTAAAAAAATATTGGTACTTATCTTTCCAAATTGTGGCAGCCCGCATATTTTGATACTGCGCTTTTGTTTGTTTTCCATTTATAATAAACAAAGCTATTGCTTCATTAGGGGAAAAAGATTTGGGTAACTTTTGACTAGGAACCGAAAGTACTTTCTCTGGAGATTTCACAGCAATAGAAACAGCTTTTGCCAAATCAGGTTTTTGTTCTTTTCTGAGAACAGATATCGCTGCGTAAGTCAGAGCTTCTGAACAGTAATTATCTCTTATATCTAAAATTTGTTTTGAGTTATCCTAAAAATATGTTTGCATAACTAGACTTACCTTTAGTATTTCGTTCTTGCTGAGATGCAGATAAATCTGAAAAACATTTTTTTTTTGAAGGGCCAGGTGCAACTGGCTCAGGAACATCAAACAATTCATGAGTGTCAGTAAAAAGTTTTTCTGCCAACCAGGATGCATTTTTTTGTGTAAATTTTGCCCAAGAATAACTTGAATCTCTCCATTTTTGTGCCCATTTTTTTATAAAATTTTTAATTGTATGTTTTAACATATCTTGCCGGTGTGTTAAATTAAAATTAATGCCGGATTCTTCCAAGCATGCTGATATATCATCGATAATCTCGACTTCAGATTTGCCGTTATATCCATGCTTTAAAAAAATATGGCATACCTCCATACGTGAACTCGTACCTAAAATTATGATAAACCTATAACATTTCGGACTTTTATGAAGATATTTGAAACCTTTATGTAAAGTTAACAACTAATAGAGAATAAAATAAATTACAAAAGTTATCTTTTTGAAAAAAGATAATTATTAGTAAAAAATTATTAGCTCTAACGTAAAAAATTAAATATTCGGCGGGTCATCGCGGGTCCAAATGTCATTGTAAATTGTACCTAAAGTGTCCCAAAAAATTCACACAAAAAAATTATTGCGTGCCTCGGCGTTCCTCTTAAGATATTTTAATTTAAACAATATTTGGCTTTAAAAATATAAAGTACTTACGTGATTTTTTTTTTTCCATGATTATATATTTTTTGTCAACTATACTCAACTATTTAAATAGCTACCAAAACCACACAATCACTGGGCACTACGAACTTCGCAAAATAAAAATCGAGTAAAATCAAAAAAGACGCTCATCTTATCAACAAAAACAGATAAACATTATAAAAAACTATAACAATAAATAGCTCATACGGGGTCCTTTCAAAAAATATTTCTTAAACTGAGGTAATAGCAATATAATTCTTGAGGCGTATGCGGCACTTTTTCGCATTTGGAACCACTTTGCGTCGTACGGGTTTTTGACTTTTCTTGAGAGTATTGCAACAGTACACTACATAAGAGTAGATGCAAGCCGCGTTGACCATGCCGTAAAAAACGCAGAGCGGCCATCTTCTGGTTTTTCTACTACATGACATAATCGAACACAATTGGTCAAACGAGTCCACTCCTGATTTTGTCTCATTATAATTCAAAATTATTTCTGGTTTGCCATTTTTTCCCGAAATTTCAGCACCCTCATGCATTGTTGAAAGCAGTAGCACTACTTTATTGTTTTTTTTTTAGGTATATAAATAGGAGACCAGAGTTCCATTTTTGTCGAAGCAGAACATCGTTGTGTTTGGTTCTCTACCTTTCAAATTCAGCATTTCTTGTGGTATTTCTCTCTTATTTTTCCGTAACGTTCCTATGATAGTTAGTTTGAATTTATCGTCCAAGAGTTTGTCAGCTATTTCAATAGAAGTGAACCAGTTGTCCATGGTTATGTTTCTATTAGTACCGTAAACAGATTTAGTCAATTCCAGTACATAATAATTTGACAATGGTACGCCGTTTGTTGGTGTCTTTTTGCCTAGGTAGGGAGAAGCATCCACCATGTACTTTGAAGACGAGTCGCAAAGCATAACAATTTTGATTCCGTACTTTGACGGCTTTTTCGGAATATACAGGTTGTCCCACTAAGGTCGGCCAGGTACGATATTATGGAGACCATAGACCTTACGTAACTTGAAAACGAATGCAGATATTAAATTGCGGTTTGCGCCAAAATGTAGATATTTTTTTGCTCTTCAAGCACAGCAATATAAAAATAATATTATGCCATTTGTCTTTTTCATGAAAATTAGAAAAAACTGGATCGTGAATAAAAAGCGCCCTCTAGAAGACGCGGTGGGAACTATCGACCTCGAACGAAGTGGTGTTCTTAATAACAATGAAATTCTCTTCCAAATAAACCCAAATTGAATGAGTTTGAATGAGGGGTATAAAAGATACAGCAATTTCTAAAAAAAAAAAATCAGCAGCTTCCCCCACCCTTATTACTGAAGATACGAAAAAAAGCCTAATAACCAAACTGGCGCAAAAATTAATGAACTTTTGATTTCTGTTGTTAAAACAGTATCTTAATATAGCGATTTCTTGAGAAAAGTTGAATTCTTAGCTATATCATCGTAATTGCGCCCCCTAGCGGTCATCCTAGAAACTTGAAAATAATTTCCATGAATTTCTGTTGGCCGATTTAGTCGAGAAAAAAAAATCCCGAAGCCGTAAGGTCTATGGTTTCCATAATATCGTACCTGTACATCCTAAATGGACATCTTCCCCGAAAACCCAAAAGTTGCTCATCAATTGTCAAATAGGAGGAAGGAGTGTATGATGTTCTGCATTTTTCAATAAAAATATCCCAGATATCTAGAATATGAGCCAGAGCGTCCACTTGCACCCTTTCTTCTCTTGTCGCTTTATTATCAAATCGAAGACAGTTTATCAAAAAAAATAAATCTTTCACAGCTCATGCAGGCTTTATAAAATGATCCGGATATTTTGGAATCAAACATCTGCTTAGCATTGAGGGGGTTGTCTTTTTTTACTGCGGACATTATCAAGATTCCGAATAGCCCCATCAGTTCCTCTTTAGTTACTGCTGAGACAGTCGGTGACTTATCGGTATATTTTTTGGACTGTTTTTCAATTTCGTCATTCGTAAAGCGGAGGATTGTTCTCATAATATCATGGCAGAAGAAGTGACAAAAATAATCAGACAAAGTTGTACATGTTTCGGCACCACCTTTAATTCCAGGAATGAAATGGATGATATTTCGGCGAGCTGTTCTTTTTGATCTTTGGGGTATTTTTGTAGACCATTTGTGCCCATTTTTTCCTTTCAAACAAATAGATCTCTGTTTTACGACACACCTTTTACGTTTTCTGTTTTTCAATAACTCGGATAACGGAATGCTATCATCAGATGAACTATCATCTCTTGCGGAAACAGTATCAGACAGTTGATCGTCGATATCTTGATCAGGTATATCCTCTAAAGTTGAGACCACATCTACCTCTACAACCTCATTTCCACCAAAATCGCTAATACTGTCACTGGAATCTTGTTCGACCTCTAAATTATCTGCCTCTGCCCAGTCACTCTCGACATCGTTATTAGAAGCGTAATCCACATCGTCCTCAACGGCTTTTTTCGTGACTCCATTTTCTAAGAAATGTTACCTATCGATATATGAAGAGAAAAAACGTAAAAAAAACCTTACCTACTAAGCCCGTATCAGCAACTATTTCAAAAACTTTACGCTAATACTAATCACTCGATCGCACCAAAACTCAGTCAAGTAAAGGCCCACAACGATACGCATTGAGAAACGTCGAGAAGAATACTGACTAGGAAGGTACTCAGATGTGCAGCACGTTTGGGCGATAGCATCAATACGAAATCGAGCGAAGAAAACCGAGCGTCGTAAAAATTACGATATATTAGTATTATAGGGTTAAAAGCCATTATTTTCTTAAAAACAAAAGGATCTGAAAACAAAACAAACAAAAACGTACTGCAAAATAAAATAAACATAACCTCAAAAAGTTTTAAAGCGGAATTATTACGTTAAAATAACTCACCTGGGGAAAAACCAATAAAAATCAACTAAATAGTACGTTCTCCCAACAATTTATTTAACTGGAAAGTCTTATATAATGAAATAAACCTCAAAAACACTAACTGAAAAACTGGTTATGCGGATTTACCGTTAAATACGAAATTGTTTGGACCCGGTAAAGGCTCCGTCCATTTTTGTGACGTCAGACTTAGGCTGTCTATTAATGTCGATAGGGGCAAATTCCCCGTCTGAAATCTCATCGAACTACAGGGTGCGGCAAAACAAATAGTGCAGTTTTGAATGACTATTAAAACAAATTGACACAACATACGAAAAAATGGTTTACTCTGCTTGATTCAGTACTACACCCCATTTGTTCACTTAAGTTTTAAAGATCACATCAGCAAGATGATGTCCTCCAGAAGCGATGCACTGATGTAGGCGATATCTGAAGTTTTCAACTGCTCTCTGGCACATATCGATCGGAATGGCGGCGATTTCCTCTCTAATGCGGATTTTCAGTTCGTCCAAATTACGAAGACGATGCCTAAAAACCTTTTCCTTGAGGTAGCCCCACAGGAAAAAATCGCAAATGGCCAAATCCGGCGATCTCGCCGGCCACCCAAGGCCGCCCCTCAGAGAGACGAGGCGCGCAGGGAACATCTGCCGCAGTTTTGTCATTGAAATCTGCGCTGTGTGTGCCGTAAGCCTCGTCTTGTTGGAACCAGATATCCCCAGTATCTTGTTCTTTAATCAACCGTTCCAATTCTGGCTCAAAAAAATTATTGCAAGCATCGCAACATAACGCGGAGCAGTGACGGTTGTTGTGCGCCCATCCTTCCCAAAAAAGTATGGTCCAATGACCCCAAATTTGGAAATGGCACACCATACAGTCACTTTCGGGAAATGGACAGGTCTCTCGTGAATTTGTTGTGGGTTATTGTCCGACCAATAATGGTAATTTTGTTTGTTTACGGCTCCAGACAGATGGAAGTGGGCTTCGTCACTACTGAAG